TTGTTGTATCTTGGTTGTGGTCTAAATCTCCTACCTTGGTAACTTCCATAGTTGTTACTTCGGTAACCTCCACGGAAATTACTCCGGTACTGACTTTGTTGTCGTAAATTCAAAATTGTGTTTGAGCTGCCCGTTATTTCGGTACAGCTGTTGGTAAATTTGGAGATTGCGTCGTTCATTGTTGTGAACGTTCCCGCTTGCATGATCATTTTGACCTTGTCATTGGAGCAGTTTTTACACATAGCTTTGACTGCTGCTTGTGTTGAATATCTCGTTGCTAAGTCTGGATTAAGTCCATCCGAGATATAAGCTCCTTCTAATGATCTGGTGATTTTTTCTATTTCGGCGGTGTACTGATTTGCAGTTTTGCTGCGTTGTTGGATGTTCAGAAGTTTTGCTGTTAAAACTTCTACTGATTCACCCTTTATTGCAGGTTTTAGTTTTGCTTTTATTTGTGTNTTCTGTTTTTCCGTAATCTAAAATACAATTGTATTTCTTTATGAAATCTAGTCCTATTATTCCATCGCATGGTATTGGAAAGTCGTCTTCTACGACATGGAATTTGTGGTAAATTACAAGGTCAGCACCTTTTAAATCCGCTTTAACTGTGCCTTATGTGCTGGTTATACCCTGACCAATGCCCGTTAAATCAGTAATTTGCTCTGTATTTATTTTATGATTATTACTAACTTGATGTTTTTTAATAATGGAGATGTCTGCTCCTGTGTCTCTTAAGAAATTTGAAATTGAATTATTTAATTATGTCCTTGTAGATATATAGCTGCAATAGATATAGTTTTAGTACGCATATTTTCCTGTCTACTGATTTTGAAGTGGAGTTTCCTGGTTTTCCGTCTGGGTGCAGCTGCGCACGTTACGGGTCTGGTTATAAGGTCTATTGCCGTTTTGGGTTTGTGATCCTCTCTGGGTATTATTATTATTATTAGACCTAGAGTTATTGTTGTATCTTGGTTGTGGTCTAAATCTCCTACCTTGGTAACTTCCATAGTTGTTACTTCGGTAACCTCCACGGAAATTACTCCGGTACTGACTTTGTTGTCGTAAATTCAAAATTGTGTTTGAGCTGCCCGTTATTTCGGTACAGCTGTTGGTAAATTTGGAGATTGCGTCGTTCATTGTTGTGAACGTTCCCGCTTGCATGATCATTTTGACCTTGTCATTGGAGCAGTTTTTACACATAGCTTTGACTGCTGCTTGTGTTGAATATCTCGTTGCTAAGTCTGGATTAAGTCCATCCGAGATATAAGCTCCTTCTAATGATCTGGTGATTTTTTCTATTTCGGCGGTGTACTGATTTGCAGTTTTGCTGCGTTGTTGGATGTTCAGAAGTTTTGCTGTTAAAACTTCTACTGATTCACCCTTTATTGCAGTTTTTAGTTTTGCTTTTATTTGTGCTATTGTGCTTTCATTACTAATGAAGTTTCTTGCCGTGCCTTTTAGCTTGGTTTTTATCATGGTTATTGCTAAGGCTTCGTGGGCATCTTTGATTTGATCAAGCATATCAAGGGCGTCTAGGAAACTGTGTAAATTCTCCGGCTTACCATCAAACTCTGGTAGTACTGATGAAGCAGTTTTAATAAATTCAACTACTGTTTGTGGCATTGTAACGTTTATATTAAGGCTGTCTAATGGCTTATTTTCTTCCACTGAAGGAGTCTGACTCGGAGAAGGTGATGGAGTCCGGTACTGGGCCGGTTCTGATAAAATTGAATTAAAATCAACCTGGAGTTTCTCCTCTACTGTGGTTGGTATTGTTATTTCTATATTGTGTCTAGCTAAAGAGGATACCAATTTATCTCGTACGGCGAAGAAAAATTGGTGGGCTTCTTTCTGGTGTTCTTTGGTAAGTATACGGTTTGTCGTATTGATCACCTGTCTTATTCTTTTTGGAGCTTCTAAAATTATGTTCAAATGCTTTACTATTGTTTCTTTTTTTTATAGTAGCATTTTTATTTATGCATTTGTACGACTTACTAGCTTTTGTTTTTTCTTCAGATAATGCGTCGTATATTTCTTGCCATTGATTCATTTCTTGGTATATAGAATTTTTGCTTAGACGCGTTGGTGTACATCGTTCAATTGTCTCCATTTATTCTTTATATAGTTTTTTATTAAAATAACAATTAAAATTCTTTGTAAACTGGTTTGAGATTGTTAATTTAAAAATCATTTTATACATATATACACTTGTGATCAGTTGATTAAGTCATCAATATTTTGATCGATTGTGGCTGTTTTTCTTTTGATTATTTAATCTTTATTATTTTTCCATAAAAGCCCAGCTTATTATATAACAAACAAAATATAAATCCATATTTAAAACTTTGTGCAAAAATTATAAAAAATGTGCAAAGATTCAGCTAAATTTTCAAGTTTTTATTCGGATTTTTAAGAATTTTTTTGAGTATGCAGTTTGATAGCCCATTATTTTCCAGGATAATAATGTGCAAGTTTTAAGTAGCTCAAGAATCGCGTTGATTTTTAATATTTTTTTTTCTCTTGTAGACATTTGGTTAGGTGGTCGATTGTCGAAAATCCTAAATTACGTTCTGCTAAGAAGGAACATAGCAATATTTCAGCCTTTTTTGCGTTCATTAGATTTTCAATGAAGTCTTAAAACAGTCGCCGACTTTTTTCTGACTTTTTGTGCTGCTACAGCTGTTTTGGTGCTTTTGCGAGCGTGTCTGTTGCAATAGATTAGCTCTTCCTGATTTGGCTTTTAATGTGCGGTTGCAAACATTGCAATAAACCTCGTAACCTCAAGTGTTTACAAAACCAGCCTTTGAACGCGGGATCCGTAGTCCAAGAATCAAAAAAAATGCACGTACGCTTGGTATGCATCGTATTTAAGTCATTTGTGTCCAAAAGACAAATATCTTTTGAAGAAGCTGCTGCCTAAAACAAAGCTTGTTAAGATTTATTAAGAAAATAATTCAAAATCAGTTATACTTACAAGATTTAGTAACAGAGAAAAATTACTGGGAAGTTAAAAAACGTCAGTTTTTGCACAAAAAACGTCCGAACGTTACCAAGATACAAAAAACGTCCAAATGACCAAAGCACTTCCCCGATACGAGAAACTCATTGCATGTTCGGTACGGGCAGTCCGACTAATTTTATACGACGATCCCTCGTTAATGGAAGCTTGTTGCCACGCGTAAATAGATAAGCAGTTAGCCAAGTTTAAAGCTATAGGAACTACAACATTACATTCTTCTTCTTATTTGGCACTACAACTGTTTGTCGGCTTGGGCCGAGAGCAAAAAACTTCGCCAGTTGCCTCTCTCCTTTGCAGATTTGCGCCAGTTCTTCATCCCAAGCGCGAACAGGTCCTTCTGCACTTGATCCTTCCATTGTGTTTGTGGGCGCCCTTGCTTTCGTTGACCACCCATGGGTGCGGAATCTAAGGACCTTTTCAGTGGAGCGTCGTCGTCCATGCGTACAACATGTCCAAGCCAGCACAATCGTTGTATTTTTGTGCGGTTAACTACGTCCATGTCGTTAAAAAGCTCGTACAGTTCGTTATTCCATCTTCTTCGGTACTCGTCGCCCACGCGAACGGGCCATAGATCTTGCGAAGAATAGTTCTCTCGAAAGCCCCTAAAACCTCTTTTGTTCACAATTTTTGTTCCTATTGTTTCTCTGTACGTATATAGATATATTACATACTTCTGCATGTACGAAGATATGACTTCAAAGAGCGTTAAAAGCACGGCTGAGGGAGCAATGAAGTGGAGACGGAATTTGAAGAAAGATGAAGAAAAGTAGGTGGAATATAAAAAAAGAGAGATCGAAAGAAAAAAAAACTATGGACAAAAATTAAAAATGAGCATATCATGGCAAAAAAGCACCAAGGTGCGACTAACTTGCCCAAAATTAAATTAAATTGCGCAAGATTAATTGAAAACAAAAAACAGGGATTAGTTTTTCAAATTTTGGCTACAGCAACGCTAGCGCAAGTGTTTGCTACAATGAATAGTGTTTGCTACAATGAAGACAGCAATTGCTTTTTAGTTTTTGAAATGGAACTTTACGATTGAAAAACATTCAAACACTTTTAAAAGGGAAGCATTTGATTTGTATGATTTTGTGTGTTTATTAGTAAAGAGTGAATGATTACATCAAGGGATTGACAACACGCGTAAAACGGTAAGAGTTAAAGCGCAATTAGTCAACGACGTAGCGTAAACGTAGGTTGACGTACGTAGCAGCATATCAAATTTGCTGTTGATAGAGAGAGAGAGAAGCAACGGCAACGTCACCGCCATGCGGTGGTGAGTTTTCGTTAACACGCGAATCCCATAAGGTAGATCGTGTCTGCGTCAACCTACGTCTACGCTACGTCGTTGACTGTTTGAGCTTTTAACCAGCGTTCGTATTGCTTTGGCGTCAGCATTGCCTATGTGAACAGCTTCATATAAACGTATGTATTTATCTTAGCGGTCAAAGCAAAACCAACGCCAAAGCAGCACCAAAGCTGTATAGGGCCATTCACATACAACTTTCCTCGCTTTGCTTGACAGTTCAAACTTTGACAACAAAGCGTGAAACGCAGAAGGTATGCTACAATAAACGCTTTGACAGCTTTTGCGTTCTCCTTTTCCTCCATATATTTTCTCTGTAAAATAGATAACAATATAATAATATGCATTAATAATAGCAATACAAATTTCTATTTACCCTATTTTTGTCATTAAATGCAAATGCAAGCGCACGAGGAAAGATACATGTAGACAACTGATTGCCAAAGCGGGCAAAAGGTGAGAGTTGCCCAAGATTTTGCTTTGCTTCAAACGTTTTTTATGTGAGCATACTCATACATATGCCTACATCGATCTTATATGTATATATGTCAAAGCAAAGAACTATCAAGCAAAGCGAAGAAATTTGTATGTGAATCAGCCTTATTTGCCAGAGCCTTAATCATAACGCGAAATATGCTCCTGAGTTTTGGTCAGTGCATGACAGCATGCATCGGCGAAGAGTGGCATCGCCGGCTAAAAGCAGTTGTTGGAGGAAACAATTCCCAGTTTTATAATCTTGTATTGAATTTACAAGATCTCGTTTTTTGCGAAATCTCAAATTTCCAGAAAGGAAAACAAGTAATTAAAAAGCAGCAGCTTATAAGAACTATTAAAAAAAGAAATGACTTAAGTCACACAGTTGTTTTTTTGAAGGGATTCATTCTCAAAATATCGTAATTTACTAAAACAAAATGTTCATTGTATTTGTTGAAAATAAAATTTTATTTTGATAAGTGTAAAAACACGCTGTAAGAATTTGTATACTTTTCGCTAAGTATAACCAGGGGCGGACCCAGCAGCAATTCTTGGGGGGAGGAGAAATTTTTCAACATATATCGTGTACATAAATTTAAAAATCACCGCAGTGCAAAATTTTTAAAGTTTTGTTAGTTTTTAATTTCTTGAAGGTTCCCCTTTTTAATAACTTGAGTGGAATTCCAAAATTTTCTGAACTTTCAAAACTTTGTGAATTTGAGAAATTTTAGTAAACCCCAATAATTCAATATAATGATGAATACTAGATTTCTGGAAATTTTTTATTTTTCAAAAATTTTGAGAATTGTAGGAATTGTAGTTCTTGAAGATTAGAAAAATTTTTGGACGTTGATGTTTTAAAAATTAAAAAAAAAAATTAAAATTCTCAAACTTTGTTATATCAATACAAAATTTTGATAAGTCCCGAAAGGTGGAACAATTTTGTAATTTTTCAAAAATGTTAAAATGTGAATTCTAAGAATTTTCTATTTTTTACACACAAGTACATGAACATAAGAACTTTTCGACAATTTGTGATGTTTCACATTTTTACATTCTAAAATGGATTTTAGGTTAAATAAAATTCTCAAAATTTTGGAAAATATAGAAAATTTCTAAAATTTCAATAATTTTGTACATTTCAAACTATTCTCATTTTACCAAAATTTCTAGAATCTCCCGGATTTCGATAGTTTTTGAAATTTTGGAAATTATCCTAAAAATAAGGAATCTCAAGAAGTTTAATAATATTATAAAATTCAAAATTTTGGAATTTTCATTGTTTTCTGAACCTGCGAAAATATTCAAACTTGCTGTGACAATCAACTGTGTAAAACAATACAAATTCGAAAATATACCAAAAAAAGTAAAAATTGAAAATGAAGTACATAATTTCAAAATTTTGAAAATTCAGTGAATTCGAAAAACTACTACTTAAATAACATAATACTTCGATCTCAACACACAGCTAAAATTTCAAACTCAAGTGAAATTTTACACACTTTTTCTATGAATTGAAATTTTCAATTTTTCATTAGGTTTGTTCCCCAAGCTTCACGAAGTCACGTCGAGTTACATATACGCGCTCCGCAAATAAGTTTTCGAGTTTCTTTGATATACTCTCACAGTTGAATATTATGAAAATACATGTTACATAGTTTTGGGGGGGGGGGGGGGGGGGGGGGG